ATGTTAAAATAGTGGATGTTAAATAGGTTTGTACAGTAAGTCCAAACAAGTTTGACCCAAAAATATTTATTTCTCACAATTATTAAGGATGGAGGGTTAAGTTAAGGTCAGGGTTAGGTTTAGGGTCAGGTTTAGGTTTAGGACATCGTTTATCTTCCGGTTTTGTATAGACAGTAAAGTTTCGTTTAATGGCCGACTTGGATGTGGGATACAACGTTTTAGTCTCTATACTTTTCTGAGTATGGATACTTTTATACTTTTGGTCCCCCCCCAGGACTCCCTGTCCGGCCATCGTGGAGCCTCTGGAACATCTGGATGAGGAGGACGGGCTCTCAGAGAAGTTGCTCCAGAAATCCCCAAAGTACTACAAGTGAGTGGGTTAGGGTTAGGGTTAGGGTCGTCAAAAGTATTGATACTCAAAAAAGTATGGATCTTTCAAACACTGAATTAAACTCTATACATATTATGTTAAAATAGTGGATGTTAAATAGGTTTGTACAATAAGTCCAAACAAGTTTAACCAACAAATATTTATTTCTCACAATTATGAAGGGTGGAGGTTTAGGGTCAGGGTTAGGGTTAGTCGGGTTAGGGTCAGGGTTAGGATTAGGGTCATTAATGTGGGCCACCATAACATCAGTAACAGGTCAGTTTGAAATGAAAGACACAATTCAGTTAAATTTTGGGGTCTTTGTTTTTATCCTTGTGGTGTTGAAAATGGTATCGAGTATTTTCCTGAGTATCGGTATCGAGTTGAAAATGTTAGTATCGTGACGACCCTAGCGCCGGGTTAGGGTTAGGGTTACCTAACCCAGGCGGCTGTGTTTCAGGGAGCGGGAGCAGCTTCCCCGCTTCGCCCAGCCGGGAACCTTTGAGTTTGAGTTCTCGTCGCGCTGGCGGGCGCTGGAGGACGTGGAGCGGCAGCAGCGGGAGCAGGTGGGCCGCAACATCCGGGAGGCGCGGGACAAGCTGGAGGCCGAGCTGGAGTCGGCCAAACACGAGCACCAGCTCATGCTCATGAGACAAGGTGCTGGAGGGGGGGCGGGGGGCTGTAGGAAGGCAGGGAGGGATGTCTAGCTCGTCCCACATCCAAGTCGGCCATTTTGATTAGGGCGTGTGACTAGCAGCTTTCTGAGGTGGAAATGAAACTTTACTTTTTATGTGAAATCAGAAGATAAACGATGTCCTGACCCTAAAACTAATCCTAACCCTGACCCTAACCCTAAACCTAACCCTGGCCCTAACCCTGACCTTTAACCTTACCCTAACCTTAAACCTAACCTTGACCCTAAACCTGACCCTGAACCTAACCCTGACCCTAACCCTAACCCCAACTCTGACCCTTACCCTGACCCAAACACTTCATAATTATGAGAAACAAATATTTTTAGTGTTGGTTAAACTTGTTTGGACTTATTGTACAAACCTATTTAACATCCACTATTTTAACATAATATTATGGATAGAGTTTAATTC